TAAGTACTTAATCCATATTCTCAAGATCTAGAACCCCTGTCTCTAAACAGTGAGTTTGGGGAAATGTGTTATAAGAGGAAGGCATTAGGTCCTAGACTGACAGTCTTGATGTTATTCCTGGGGTTGGTTGAAGAGATGCGATATATGGTGGACCATGTGATGCTGTCACGTGCTGAAAGGCAAGCCTATGAATCACTTTCTAGGTGAGGGGCGTTCTCAGTGGATCCCCCTGCATGGAGAACATCATGGGGACAACGTTTGCCTATGATGGTTAGAATATTCCCTAAGGATGCTCAGCTGCTCACAGAAAGTCCACAGACATTTCAAGTATGTTGCTTTCATGTGAGAACATTTTGACTTGAGATTTAGGAGAGTAATTTAACCATGAGAATTAGAAGTAACTTAGAAGTGGGCTTAGCTTTTGCTATAGGATGGTGTTGCTGATTATATTCACATGTATGAATTTACTTCCCTTCCATTCCTTTGGCCTCACAAACATTATGCATTAAATACCAGGAGATGTTTGATACATGGGGTTATGCCTAATGCCATATTATCCCGAGGAGTGGAACGCATAGATTCATACAGTAAATGACCGTCATTCCACCTCTCCATTGGCCCTCCATCCTACTGTGCTTATCACTATATTGCTTAGCATATTATCACTGGCTCTGAAAGACTCTGGCATAAGCCTGGGATCCTTCAACTGGGGCCTACCCGCTTTTGGGACACCTGTGAGCTCTCAAAAAGCTATGAGCAAAATTTGTAAATATGTTGTTTGCAGGGATGAGTTAATAAATCTTTTATCAAAATTAATACAAGAATGACCTCAAGGTTAAGCGTCACTTGGCCCTCTGAAATTAACCCCTTGCTCCCACAAAGCCCTACCAACACACGCACTCATATTTTATGTAGTGCAGTGTTTCCCAAGTATATTCTTCCAGGGACCCGGGATCCATTATGATGTAGTGATTAATTGTTGGGCTGTGATCTGCTTGATCACCAGTTCAAAACCACCAGGAGCTCTGCAGGAGAAAGACTGGGCTTTCAACTCCTATAAACAGCGAGTCTTGGAAACTCACAGGGGATTGCTATAAGTCAGCATTGACTCGATAGCAGTGAGTTTGGTTTTGAGGTTCAGGGACCTGTGGGCTGGAGAGGCTTTGGGGATCAGCTAGCAGGTGGTGAATATGTCCTGAATAAAGGTTTTCAAGTCTAAAATACAAACAAAAAGAAAACATGACGGTGAAGAGAAGTCTGCTGGCCTTCGCATTGATGGCTTCTGCTGTAACAGGAGAGAATGAGTACTCCCTCATTAGTTACTGATGACATCATAAGCTATCATTTAGGTATCTTGCCTGGCACGTAGTAAACCCAACCCAACCCAACCCACTTTCCTTGAGTTAATTTGGACTCCTAGTGACCTTATAGAACAGGGTAGAATTGCCCCTGTGGATTTCTGAGACGGTCAATCTTTATGGGAGTAGAAAGCCTTTCTCCTAAAGAGTGGCTGGTGGTTTCAAAGCGCTGACTGTGCACTTGGCAGTCCAGTGGGTAATCACCAGTGTTCTCAGGAAATGCCTTTGCAGTCCATCCCTGAGACGGACATGCCTTGACCCAGTGGCTGCAGCCCTGGGCTCAAACCTCAGACGGGTGGTGAGGCTGGCGCGGAGCAGGCCGGTTCCGTTCTGCTGCACAGACGTTCACGTGAGGTGGAACCAACTCCACCACACCTAAGAACACATACCCGATGCCTTCAGGTACCAGCTTGTACTGCAGTCAACTTGGCTGTTGACTTTTCTCTCCAAACTCAGTAGAGAGGAATTTTCCTTCGGGGCCTCTGGTAAGCCAGCACACATCTGGCATCTGTGCACGGCCCCAGGCATCGTTTGCACACCCTGCCAACTCCATACCCCTTCTAGAGTTGGGCAGCTTGGTGGCTGCCTACTCTCGGTCTACGTTGCATTGCTCTGGTTTCTTCTCTGTCCTCTGTCACTCGCAGGTGTCACACCTAAGCCACTTACCAGCAGTTTGTCAGCCCTTCTGTGGCTGCTGCTGCTGCCGCTTCCCCACCACCCTCGCCTCTTTTTCTTTACTTCTTACTCTGAACTACCCCCGTTTCTCTGGTGCTAGGGAAGTCTTCACTCTGGAAAGGGACCTCTCCCCACCTCAGGTGGCTAACAGCTAATCACATCCTCTTGAGGTAGATGTTTTTGACAAGCAAACATTTTCCAGCTGTGTTGGGGAGCTGCCCTTTACCTGTCAATTAAGAGTCGTGTTTGCATTGGTCTGTGAATTTTGTTTTGTGGTGTTTTTACAACTAATTCTTTGTCAGTGTTCCCCTGAGGAACATCTCCTGATGTTCCTTGCACCCTTTAGAACAATCACAATATCAGGTGGGGTGGGATGTATGTTTCATCTTCTTTTACGTTCTCCAGATAATCCCAGCATGTCATCGGGGCTGTGAATCTCTGATTTAGATTCCCAGCCTTAATATCAAGTCAGAGGAGATTGCTTTTGTATCTAAAAATAATAATGCTGCCTAACCAGCCAATACATTTCTGAAACATACTAATATAAAATAAGTAAATGAAACAAACAAAATGGCCTTCCTGATATTTTGGGAAATGCCTTATATGGACACCTAGAGGGTCATGTGGGTTGTTTTGCAAATAGAACCAAATCTAATCAGCTAGAAAAAAAATATTTTTTTCATTGTTGTGTTGGTCACAAATTTAACAAGGTCCAGATATTTCTGCCCATATTTTTAGCTAAGCAAAGAGCTCTTGGCCTGGGAGACACTCAGAATTTCAAAATAGTATGCTACCTAAAAATACACTTCCTGAAATGAACTTGAGGTCTGAGCGGGATGAATGGGTTTATTTTTTCTTCTCCTATATTTAATGCTGCCGCAAGAAAGCAAATCTTAAGTTTATATAGATTTGTATATTTAGAAACCTAGAAAACAGGTGCTTGCCCAAGTGACAAAGAGGTGGCATGACAGAAGAACGTTCTGATGACAAATCTAAATTTCACAGGACAGGTAGTGACTGTAAAGGCATTGAACGGTTCCTCCGACCTTCAGCAGAAGCGCACTGAAACAAGCAGGATTGGGGGAGCCGTGAGATTTTTCCATGCTCCTGTGATGGCTGTCCCTTGGAGAGGCACATTCCCAACAATCTAAAGGCCAATGATGAGTCTAGTGCCACTTGTGACCTCGGTCCGGTCTTTTTTCTTATAGAGTGTAATGCAATCATATAATTTGCCTTTACTGATTTATGCCTTGCAGCCAAGTCTTACTTCATATGACCCTCCAAACTCAGCCCTCAATTTTCATCTCATTGCTAATGGAAATGGACTTCACTGAGGGCAAGGATAGGAATGGCCTTATACGTTAGTTTTCTAGTGCCGCCACAGTCCTGAATTTAGAGTTCTCGTCTTCGGGTCTGTGAGGAAATAAGCTTATTTTTCATAGCCATCCACTCTCTGGGGTTTTGTGGCTCCAACATTGAATGAATACAAATGATCATGTATGATAACATGCCTCTCTATTTAAGTAAAGAAACTCTGTATTCCTTTGCACAGGTCAATAAAGGGTCACTTAAGAACTTCTATATTTGGCCTGTGTCAATTTTATCCATTTACTTATTTATCTAATCAATATGTTCGGGGTGTCTTCCATTGCGACAGACTTTGTTTGGGGGACTTTTAAAAATAAATAAAGTGAGTGATAAAGATCTGTAAAGAAGGCTCGTGGAGCTGTCGTCACCAAACTCACCTTCTTGGGGATAAATTATAGGCCAGCAAGTGATTGAAACAGTTGGTGCAGAATCCCGGGGTCACTTTAGCGTGAAGGGGTAACATTTAACTAGAGACTGGGAAGGTTTGAAGACTCTGGACAAAAGAAATAGGGAGCTAGGTGGGGTTAAAAATGGAAGGGTCTTTGCTTCTTCCAGGAGCCTTGTTTTCTAAAAGGGGGTGAATATGGTGTAAGAAGGAGCGTCTCATGGGATAAGGTCAAAGTCAGAGAGGAAATGGGAGGTAGTCCTTAAGGTGGCATTTAGCTTTTCTTCACCTTTGTTTGCCTAGTGCTGTGGCAATGCTGGAGGAGCCCTGGTGGTGCCGTGGTACGTGTTGGGCTGTGATCAGCGTGGTTGGCAGTTGGAAACCACCAACAGCTCCATAGGAGTAAGCTAGGACTTTCTACTCCCGTAAACAGTGACAGTCTCAGAGACCCACAGCAGGGCATTTGGTTTGGGTGTGGTGGTGGTGCTTAGTATTGGGTCTAGGAAGCATACAGTAAGTGTTGGTTAATCAACAGCTTTGCCTCCAGGCTGTAGAGGGAAGTCAGTAGAGCTAGTACCTTGTCAAGAGGGCCCTTAGAGCTCCCTTGTGTGCAGGACAGGAAACTAATGGCAGGGCTATTGCCTCTTCCATGGTTTCTCCTCGCCAGTGACTGACTCTGCTGGTTGTAACCCTCACCTGCCCATGTGAGCTATGGTGCATATGTGGTTTCCCTGTGTTCCCTTTATTTTGGGTGGCTCTGTCTGAACTGCTCCCTTGTCTGCCCTCTCAGATAGACTATCATTCCCTCAGGGTACTGATCATTGTGCCCCACCTTCATAGATACAGGGTTGAGTTTCAGTATAACTTTTGAGGGCACCCAATACGGTGCAGTGGGCTAATGCGTGTTCCTCGATTGATTGGTAAAGATTTTTGTAGAAAGAGAGTTTTGTGATCATCAATGATACATGCAGGAAGTGACTCAGTTGCCCTCCCCACCCTGTCTCATGCACGTGCACACCACCTGACAAGGATGGTCCTTACGAACTGTATACAGGAAAGAGCGTCTTTTCAGATGGGAAGGCATTCGTGTGTCTTTGTCCACATTCATTCTCATGACATTGAGATGATTTGAAATTGCATAACCTCTTTAGGAATTCATTGGCAAGCCGCCTGGCAGTTGGATCATTATCGAATGTATTTTCTCTTTACCCCAGTTAACGAGGACCCGATGGTCGTGGACGAAAATGGTGCAATCAAGTTGCGACAACTGTGTAAATTTTGCGATGTGAGGTTTTCTACCTGTGACAACCAAAAATCCTGCCTGAGCAACTGCAGCATCACGGCTATCTGTGAGCAATCCTACGAAGTCTGTGTGGCTGTCTGGTAAGGCTGCCTTTTCAGAACGCTTTCTTTGTTAAAAGTAAAGTGTGTTTGTAAGACAAAGTCTCTGTGTCTTTGTCCTGCCCTAGGCCGAAGCACCTCTACACCATTTCTTTTCCCCTAGAGTACCTCTCTCTCAATTATGAAATGTAGCTTTACAGATATATTTTGGAATATATAGGTATATCCAAGTATATTTTGGAAATATACCTGTGTATGTGTGTGCACGCACACACACGTTCATACATGATTACTTTTTTTGATTAGATGATAACTTTTTAGTTATCTTTGAACATTTATCACTGGAGGACTCTTCTTCCCAACTTTGAGGCATTAAATGGACACCTCATCCGTAACCCATAGTGACACTGCTGCCGCCACCAAACCCACGTCTGCTGCCTTCAGTGGGCTCGGATCCATAGCAACAGGAGATGGCAGAGTAGAACTGGCCCAGAGGATGGTCAAGGCTGGAAATCTTCATAAACATGGACTGCCACATGTCGCTCTCAGAGGAGCACCTGGCAGATTTTTCCTTCTGCGGCAATCTCAATTTTGTGGGGTAGAAGGAGGCATGAAAAGTGAGCAGCTGGAAAATGGAACCGTGGCTCCAAAAGGACAGTCCTCAAAGAACCAGAAACCCAACTCACTTCTTAGCCAGCAGCTCAGGTTCCATTACCCATCTCTCCTCTGGGCGCTACCATATCCTCCTTGTCTCTTTCTTACTCTTATACACACTCATCACACACACACACCCCTAATATAGTTATTTATACATGTACTATGGGTTCTCCTGGATCATTTAATAAATTTACAATTATGACTTGGGTGCCTGAGGAAAGAGTGAAAGAAACATTAGCAGTTCCCATTTTGTAATAATATGTACTTTTATCCCTTTTGACAGATTAATGGGATATAACATCATCCTGGCTTATTCTGATACTTCTAATTATTGAATTTTGGTGGAGTGGGGAGGACTGTGTATCTCTAAGCCACTTGGCAAATAAGAATAGAAACTCAAATATGTTCCCACTTTTTTATGAAGGAGTCTTCTGAGACTGTCTCTAGACACGTAGTTAGCCTTGATGATAGATCTGAGAAACGTGTGCATTTCTGTACTCACAGTGGGATGAACTGGTTTCTCTAGAACTGAAGGAATGCTAACAGCAAAGACCTGTCACGACAGCTCGCACTACCTGTCAACTGCATTCATGTCCAAATGTGGGCAGTGCTTTTTGAAAAAGGATTTAGACCAAGTGTGTTCAGAGCCAAGCGACCACTGTGGTTAGAGGTATAGAAAGCATGCCATCAGAAAAATGGCTGAGGGAGACCTGGTGAGTCTTGTAAAGAAAGGACATGAGTCTGTTGACAGAGACTTAAAGGACAAGTGGAGAATTAAAAACCTGTGCCACAGAACTCCAAAGGGTAGAGGAGGATGCATAAAACTTACCAGCAATGAGATTTGTGTTCAGTGTAAGCCTGAAAACATTTCACTATCCGCGTTTGCCAATAACAGGGTAGACCGTCTTCTCTTAGAAAACCAAGGGAAACCCAGTAGAGAGGAATGGCCACCTGTTGACCGAGGGAAGGGAAGGGAAGCGACACATGGCAAGGGAACCTCAGTGCTTTCTTCCATGGTTCTAATCCCCAGTCCTGACCGTTATCTGTATACCTGGTGTGGTGTGAGAGCTAACTTCTGCTACCCAAAGAGGATCTTTTAGTTAAGATATGGGTCCTTTACCCAAAATGCAAATTCAATATAAATCAAGTCTCTCTGGAATGACACCATTGCTGTGAAGGAACCTCCTTCTCTCTCCTCTCTCATACCTATAAACATAAATACAATGGATATTCTTTTTACCTGCTTTGCTGAAGGGAAATACTCTTTCATAGTTGGAGTTCAAGTAATGAGAAAGGGAGTTGTCATGGATACTGTTGTGAACTTAGAAGATTCTCCTTCTCAGGTACTCCCTTCCCTAAGCTCAGAATATTAGAACACTTACCCCTGATTGCTTCACCTGTAAGATAATTGGACAGTCCCCCTGCAGAGGACCACCCAGAAGGAATGAAAATTCCAGAGTGAAGTATAGTACTGATGAACCACATAACTATCCTCTCGTTCTTTAATATTTCCTCTCCTTACTATTCTGGTTTCTATTTGTTTTACCCCATTAATTGTGTTAGAGTTGCATATATTTGTATATGTAAGATCATTTGGCACATGAAAGCCAAGATCAATAACCCTTCAGAAAGAGTAACAGGAGTAATGGTTCCCTGGGGGTACGGGAAGAGGGAGGTGGGGAAAATAGGGAGTTGACAGCATTAATGACTGTATAACCCCACTCAGTGGGATCAAACAACAGAATTGTATGTGAATGGATATATTGGGTCATCTAAGATATGGGAAAACAAACAAACTATTATGGGGGGGGGGATAATAAGGGGCCCTGGAGGGCAGGGAAGGGATAAAGGGGAGCTGATATCAAGGAGTTCAAAAAGAAAGAAAATGTTTTATAACTGATTGTGGTAGCAATTGTACATTACTGCTTGATGTGATTGAACTATGGATTGTTAGGATATCTTTAAGAGCTCCCAATTAAATGATTAAAATTTTTAAAAGTAAAAATTATTACATGAATAAAAAAAAAAAAAGAATTCCTTCCACCAAAGAGGGCTGCTTCATTCAAGGGTTCCCCCTTCTCCGGAGTGGTTAGTATCCCATGACTGATGGGCGCTGGGGTGTGCAAATGCCTGACTGCTTTGCTTCCATTTGGGACAACTCTGAAGGATCATCCCAGCTTCGATGCTTCTGCAAAATCAGTGGAGCCCTTTCTGCAGCCTGACCTCCGGCTGAAGCCCCTCATCTGCACAACACTGCCTCCTTTAACCCACACAGGGCACGCGAGAAAATGTTCTGCCCTGAAACTGCAGGACCGCAAACTGAGAACCCCAAATAAGACGGGAGGCTATTTGAAAAGTAGCCCAATGTGGAAACTGAAAGGCATGGTGGGCGCCATGGGAATAATCCCCCTAACACCCTCGCCTCCACCCCCTGCCCTTTACAGTCCTTTTAGTTCCTGTAGTCATTTCACCCATGTCAAGTCTGGACCCGTGTCAAAGAAAAGGATTAAATTCTCCCCACTATGAGACTATCTTGGAATTAAAATAAATTCTGTTATACTGATTCGTTCTCCAGGGAAGGCTTGCGATGACCTCTTCGATGGCTCAGATAATTGTTGCAGGACCCCAAATCAAGTGTATACAAGCAGTCCCAGGTCATGAATGAGATCTAGGGTCTTTAAGTCTTGGAATGCAAGTTGAGTCAGGACAGGTTCATCGTATGGATCTTATTTATTATTGAGTCTTAGTTTTCGTGCAAGGAAGTCTTTTCAGGGAGGCAACAGCTGTCTGTGGAGCAAGTAAAGGAGATTGCGATGATGAATTTGCTGTGAGCGAAGGTTGGTTCCGTCATTCCACAAGTGAGGACAAACTTGTTAAACATGAGCAGATAGGCAAGAGTTGTCCATTTGTCAGATGTATGTAACTCGGGGTCTGCCTGTTTTATCTCACTGGATTTTCCCTCCTAGTGTTCAGTGGTATCGAGGAGTGCTTTGCACAGAGAGGCCAGCACGATGGAGGACTCGCTTGCAGGATGCGTGCAGAAAGCACTGAAGGAAGTTACGCAGCCTCAGGAATTACCGAGTGTCCTCTCAGTGCACTCCGCCCCTTCATCTCGAGCAGCTTCCCAATGAAGCAGCACTAAGCCCTTTTCCTTGGGAGCAAAGGATTACCACGCCAAACTAAAACCACCGTCCCTTTCAGTCTCTCCGTCTCCGTCTCCTCTCCCTCTCTCTTCCTCAGTCGCCACACACATCATGGGAAGGGAGTACGTTCATGTACCATAACCACAGCTTTTGCTAAGACAGATTTAAGATTAAACTATTACTGTATCTGTTGTGTGATGCTGCCCACTTTAGTTTCATGTATTTCCCTGATAGCCGCCCGGAGTACAGAGTCCGATCACCTGTCACTCTGCCTTTCACAGCAAGGTCCTGCCTCAGTGGGACTGGAGTCTTCCTTGTCATCCTTGACCCTTGGTGGTGAGGCTCTTTCATAAAAGGGCACGCGTGCCTCTAGGCTGCACAGATGTCAAAAACACTAACTCCATCCTGGCCGGGTTTTTCCATCCTTCCGTCAGATCCAAACCACTCTGAATCCCAGGTTGATATATTGTCTATTATTATCTTCCAATTAGGCGCTAAGAAGGTGGGCTAGATAAAGTTCTTACTCACTTGAATATGACCCAAGATTCTCTTTGGGTTTCCTTGTTGTGAATTTGTATGTGTGGGGGCTTGAATGTGCACGCATGTTTGTGATTACTTACATAGATGCACTCAGAATTCTTTTAAGAAACTTCCACTATTAACACTGATCTCATCTGGGCCATCATCGCAGGCCTCATTAGTGCTGCTCTAGATCGAGTGCCGTTCCAGACGGTGGGTCTTGGGCACCTGGAAGGATCGATGGAGGATGCCAAGTGATGAGGGATGCTGCGGATAGTTATCCAGGAGGACCCTTTGATGAGGAAAGCAGAATGGCGGGTTTTCTGAGGGTGCTAGACTTTCATCTGGGCTTTGTCAATTATGTGTCAATCATGTCATTTTAAAAATGCAAAGTACTAATTAGATCCAACTGAGCATTTTATAGGGCCTAAATAAACTAACTCTTGAGGATTCTCTGCGCCTTTAGCTGAGCCAGGCTCCAAATCTAGGATGTGAAGGAATTTTAAATCTGAAGTATCTCATTGAGCGGGACATAACAGCGAGCGATTCCTTTCCACGTGTTTTATTCATTTCTTTATTCCCCACCCCACCTTCCTCAAGTGTTCCCATCAGAAATTTGGGAAACTACTTCTTTATCTAGGAGGCTTCTGCCCTCCTTCGCAGCCTGCCAACTGCTGACCTGGAATCCACCCTCCCATAGTGTTCTGGGGCTCAGCAGTAAAAGCAGAGGGAAGGTGACTGCTTTTCCAGGTGTGCTGTTTGAGAAGAAGCTTTTAGCTAAACATGAGTGGGATTCTAGGGAGCGTCTGGTGACTAATTAGCTGTTAACCAGAGGCTCAGCAATTCAGACTGTTGTAACAAGCCATCCTTCCAGGCGATTCTGTGTCAGAATGGTCAAGTCTGAGACCACTGATTTAGAAGCACTCAGTAACAGCTGAAAGGATCTCTGGCTGCCAATCAGAACTCAGCCATATGGATCCAGGAGCTGCTCCGCAGGGGAAAGCTGAGGCAGTCTGCTTCCCTAAAGATGACAGCCTTGGAAACCTCAGGGGGCAGCCCTACCTGCCATTCAGAGTGGACTCCATGGCAGTGGGGCTTTGGTTTGGGGGAGCCAGTCTCTGTCCAGTACATGAGGGATACAATGTGTAAGCCTTGCAGGACAATCTGGATGGGAGGTGTTAACATTTTCTTGAGTATCTAGGAATCTTCTGTTGGCTGATGTCCCGCTCTAGTAATGGCTTCATTAGAACTTAATATGTGCAATTCTCCAGAAGGCCAGTCCTCAAGGAAAGCCCTCCTGTTTGTGATCATCAGTGAGCTCTGAGAATAAGCGACAGCACAACTGAAATGACAGAGGCACAGGAGGCTGTAGGGCAGCCTGCTCCTGTTTGACACAGGAACTCACGACCATTGTTAGAAACGGCTTTATAAATTAAATTCCACCCAGACTGATGTCCTGTGCATTCACTGTCTTTCTCTCTTCCCTTCCCCTGTGGCGCTTTCAATTCCAGGAGAAAAAATGATGAGAACATAACGCTAGAGACCATGTGCCATGACCCTGAGCTCCCGTACCAGGGCGTTATTTCTCTGGAGGACTTTAGGTCGACAAAGTGCATTATGAAGGAGAAGAAAATGTCTGGGGAGACCTTCTTCATATGCTCCTGCAGTGCTGATGAGTGCAATGACCAAGTCTTCTTCTCTGAAGGTAGGTGCTTTCCTCACCGGAGCCCTGGGCCCGCCTTTCTCTGTGTTAATGTCTTGTATCTCTGGCCTGCATTTTATCAAGCCGATCCTCCTCTGACTCATCCTGGAGCGGGCCCTGTTCACCCGGTGGGTGCAGGAAATAGGCACCGTTGGTTCTGGATCTTATCACACCTGGCTCCCTAGGACCCATGTGATTGTCTCCTTTTCTTCCCAAATGGTTTTCGACCCCTGCAGGAGGAGTGGTTCTCCAAGTACAGCCCCCCCCGAAGCAGAAACATCAGAATCACCTAGGAACTTGGCAGAGATGCAAATTCCCAGCCCCCTTTCCCAGATCGACTGAATCCAAAATTCTGAAATAGGCCCTACTTATCTGTGTTGTAACAAGCTGTCTGGAATATTCTGGGGAGGTCGTGAATGAGAACCACTCAGCCAGAGATTAAAAGGAGGGTGTTCGACTCAGGAGAATTCTCTGAATTAACTCGGTTGACTTCTTGGAAGGCTAATCATTGGTGCCACCTCAGAGAAGAACTGAAGTACAGGGGAATATGATGAACAAAGTGTACCCCTGAGGCTTCCAGGTGAGACTAGGTTAGAAACTCACAGCCATCTTTGAAACTCCACAGTTACTTGACTTGGAAGAGGGAAACAAACTATAGTGCCACTTAAACACATGCACACAATATTTAATCATAAAAGTAATTACCAAAAATTCATGAGACAAGTTTTTACAAATTTAAAAATGAAAGCACATTTCATACTTTCCCTCACTTCCAGCCCAATAGATTATAAATCCATCTCTCTCGTTAACATAATTTTCTCTCCTCTTCTCATTGATCATCTTTTGCATCCTCTCTTTCCCTCCTCCTAACTATGCAAACATTTGATTATATCATAAACATTATTTTGTAGTTTCTTTTCAGTCACGGCGTAGTCTTCTTCTACCAAGCAAGTCGATCTTGATAGCTTACAAGAAGGCCTCGCTTAAGCCCAAGGAGCTAACTTCTAATGGTACCATGCCCAGACAGATATACTACCATCTGTAAAATGTGTATCTGGTCTGAATATTCCTGGTCCACAAAGGAATAGTTTAGCGTGTACAGTGTGACGGAAATTGTTAAGTGACTGCACTGATATAAACCCCTTGAGATACTGATGTCCCGACTTTTGGGTTTATTATGACTCTGATGCTAAACATAGGTCTCCATACTGTTTTCCTGCTTATTCCTTAGCACTCAGGAAACAGCACAGCTGATGACTTGGATACCTGAGCGTTTGTGAAGTCACCAAAAAATGTATTGGGGGAGTAGGGGTGGTGGCGGGAGGATAGGGAAGGAAAGCTATGTTTGCTTATTAAATATCTTATCCACCCCACAAAAGAGCATAGATATAAATAGAAATGTTTGGGGAAATCCCTTTCTCCTCTTAGGGTTTCTTCTTTTTTATGAAGGAAATTGACAGATCATCAGGCAATGTTTGTTTCTTCCCTCGAGTCATCTAAGCGGGCAAACATGAGTACTCTTGAGTGCCATATGCCGTCTTGTGATGACTTCAGCACTGTTCTCCCAACCAGCCTTCTGCTCTTTAAACACACACAATGGGATAATC